CCCTAAAAATTTGTCTGGACACAATGATTTATGTTCCAAGCAGTTGCAATTATTTTTCATCACGGTGTGAAGAACACGACTCTTGACAAGCGTCCAAGAAGGCTCGAAACAACGATGTAGAGATGAATATTCATTGGCTCGATAACATACTCCAAAAAACCAAAAAAGAAATAAAGAGAAAGATGCTAGTACTTTGTCAACTAGCCATTGGATGGTTGTATACGTACTCAATTGCAAGATTACAGGAATCTATTTTATCAGCCTCCTTGTCTGGGATCTCTAGCTTGAACTCCTCTTCCAAGGCCATTACAATCTCCACAGTGTCCAAGCTGTCTAAACCCAAATCTTTCTGAAAATGACCATCAGGGCTCACCTGCAGATAAATAACGGAAAACCCAATAATTGCAGCAACATTTCAGCCAAAAGCTATGATTGAAGTTTAGTGGGGAAGAGATGATGCTTGGAAGTGACAAAAAATTAATAGTAGAAACTGGGCGACATAGTTTAGCTGCTTTTGATCGTTTCTAACCTTAAAATGGCTCGAAAATGAGTGTAATATTCACTATATGGCATAGCCGAGTTCTTGGGAATATCTCAAAAAAGTGTGTAATATCTACTATAGCATAGCCTGGTTCTCGGGGATACGTTAGGAATACAACACGTTAAGGTCAAGTCATAAGGAGGTAAACCACAATCCAGTGATCAAAAGACCAAAAGGAATATGTTAGCAAAAGTTCTTTGGAGTCTAAGAGCAATATGAAAATAACGCCTGGGACAAGTGAGATGAGAAAATACATCTTTTGAGTAAACGGGTTACAATCTATAAGATTGATTATACACAAATTGACACAAAAGAAAAAACAAAAAGGCAAAAGAAGACGAAGAAGAAGTAGATATGATATGTTGGCGAACAAAAGGGAGCAAAAGAGGAAGAACAAGATAAGAGAGACAATTTTATGTCTGTGTGCAATAAAGTGAAGGAGAACAGCATTGAAGTGTCCAAACTAAAATGATATAGACATCACAAAAAGAGCAGCAAGATGCACTCGTACACTGTCTGAGTGAGCTTGCTTGGCATACACCAGCCAAGATGCATCCTTAAAATTGATATAACCACCCTTTGGCAATTAATGATTTGTCATCTATCATCGACTATACCCAAAATGTGTAAGATTAGAAACCGTTGACCTCCGCGAATTCAAGAAATTTAGGTGTCAATAGTTAGTCCTAGTGAACCTAGCCAAGCAATCCACATAAACGAAGGGAGATATATTGTGTGCAATACGGCAATCGACCCAAACTTTCAGCCAAGAAGTTAAATTTCCAAAAGATGCCGAATCAAATATTAAATCAAATGGCATTTCAGCAAAAATTATCAAGTTCCACATTCTAGATTAACGCTTGATCAGGGAATATATCGTCGTGAGTTATGGTTTGCCCCAATTTTCCATTCGCACAGATAAAGCATAGGAGATTAAACCATAAAAACGATTCGGAATCCACCAGGATCGCACATCAGAACATTAAACTATTGAATCGGCATATTACAGAATTTCTACACTTTCAACCTATTATTCCGCATTCCCAAATCAACAAAAGCCGTTTCAACAGTCTTGAAAAAACAACTCAATAAGCTGAAAAAACAAGTGATGGAGGTATAAGACCGAATCACCTTGGACGGATCGACTTTCGGATGGCACTTGACAACCGAGAGGACTCTCTCAATAACCTCCTCCTTGGTCAAGTGATCATCGTGCGATGAAAATAGCCGGAGCGACGCAACGGAACACGACGCCGGTTGGCATTCTCGGCGAGCTAGGGCAAAAACTCGAACTGGAACTCGAACATGGCGAAGAACGGCTGCCCTCAGTGCCATTTTTTATCTCTTCTTCCTGCAGTGACTCTTCGATTGCTCGAACTTGTAGATCCTAAAGTGAAGGTGAATTTGGCAGGCGCGAAGCACGTGCGTCAGGAAACTTTATGGGCTTTGGCCCAACAGTCTTCCAATAATCCAATGACCGATCGGCCCAATCTAATTTCGTCCGTACAATTTCTCTTAAATTATTAACTTATTTTGAATTTTATTTAAATAAATAAATAAATTATTTTTCACTGATATTCTCCCTTTGACCCATCTACTAGGGAAAGGTTTTCACACCCATATAAGGGGTGTTTTGTTCTCCTCTCTATAACCGACACGTTTTAAAACCGTAAACCTAACGACGATACGTAATAGGTAAAAACGGACAATATCTACTAACGACGGGCTTGCACGGTTGCAAAAAGATATAGACTTAAAACATTTTAGATATACGAACCCCTGAGTCACAAACACGAACATCTCATGTCCATTCAATCTCAACCGAAGATCAGGGTTCAAACAAATTTATTTAATATCAAAAGTTTCCGAGACAAAAGAACAAGTTTCTTACACAGGAGCCGAACACGATCAAACCCACTTTAATAGTCTCGACACGTAACTCAAAACACATTCACTACAAAATTCAAAATGTAACAAATAAATTAAAATTAAAAATATATATTTTTCAAAATTTTAAATGCATTTATTTAAATTTTAACATAAATAAATAAATAAATAAAGGTTTGTATTGGCACTATCAAAACGAAGTCAAAGTCATTCTTCCCTATCGCAAAGGTAAACCTACCTTTTCTGACGCTAATAATAATTTTTCAATAATAATAAATAACAATAAATGAATCAAAAACCATAAGATTTATGTCATTTATCGCAATTATAATTCACATTTACTACATTATTTAAATATTCATCTTTTATATTTATTATATTAATAAATAAATTATCTAATATATATATATATATATATAGTTTTAAATTTTTACTTTTATTTTTTAAATTAAACCCAAAATTTATTAGACTCCATTATTTAAATATTCATCTTTTATATTTATTATATTAATAAATAAATTGTATAATATATATATATATATATATACATATAGTTTTAAAATTTTTACTTTTATTTTTTAAATTAAAACCAAAATTTATTAGACGACATTATTTAAATATTCATCTTTTATATTTATTATATTAATAAATAAATTGTATAATTTATATATATATATATAGTTTTAAAATTTTTATTTTATTTTTTAAATTAAACCCAAAATTTATTAGACTACATTATTTAAATATTCATCTTTTATATTTATTATATAATAAATAAAAATAAAACCCAAAATTTATTAGGGGGAGGGGCCTTGGAATTTAAATAAAGTGTAATTTGGGTCAAAAGTGCAATTAATGTAAAGAAGCATCAAAAGAGACTCAGCGGTTTCCGACCGTTAATAAACGAGATGGAGTCAGGTCCCTAGGATCTAGGGGCCCCACCCACCCATGTAATGACGTGGATTACTTTAATTAAATAAAACACGTAGTCAAGTTGTAAGGTTCTGTTTGAGCGTGTCACACCGCATTAAAATCCTCTCCACCTGCCATCTCCACCACTTGCCTTATAGTCCACGTCACTCTGCCACGTGGCTCCATCACTCAGTACACCATTTTTCCTTTTTCCTAGGACCCGCCATTTAAAAATTTTAAATAAATCAAAATATAATATCTTATAATATTAAATGCTATATATATTAATAATATTTTAAAATTAAATATATGGAAAATTAAAACATTGTAATATATATATTTAATACGCTCATTTCCAATATAGTATATAGTTTTTTATTTTATATTTTTTTATTGAATTAAAATATTTATATTTAATTATTATTTAGTCCAAGTCATTATATGTACTTTATCTATTTGCACGCAATATAGAAGTCCAAATATTTGTATATTGACATAGTCACCAATATTAATTACGTTAATAAATGTGACAAATTTATATATTTATTTCATTATTTTTCAAGAATAATTAGTTGGAGTGGGAAGATTCCAAGAGCAATGGCTAATCATGTAAATATAATCAATTGACTTATGGTCGACATCACTCGTAACATCATTCACAAAAAATAATATCATATAGTTTTTAAATTTTTACGAATTTACGGTCATTTTAATGAAAAAATTCGAAACTATTTCAAATAAAAGTAAATAATAAAAAAAAGACTGAGAACCTATGTGCGTACATAGACTAGGTGTTAGGAATCACGACTCTCCACAATGGTATGATATTGTCCACTTTGAGCATAAACTCTCATGACTTTACTTTGAGCTTCCCCAAAAGAACTTATACCAATGAATATAGTATTCCTCATTTATAAACTCATCAATAATCCTTAATAATCCTCCCCTCAAACAAAGTACACTATAAGCCTCCCCTGAGGCTTATGTAGCTCTCGAATAGCCTCCCCTTAATCAAACCTCGACTCCTTTCTCTTAAGCCCTCGAACAAAGTATATCATTTGTTCAACACTTTAGTCACTTTTGACTACACCTTCGAGGCTCACAATTCCTAGTTCGGTATTTGGGGATTCTATTGACATGGTTAAGTTTAGGGCATAGCTTCTGATACCATGTTAGAAATCATGACTCTCCATAATAGTATGATATTGTCCACTTTAAGCATAAGCTCCCATGACTTTGCTTTGGGATTCCCAAAAGGCCTCGTTCCTCACTTATAAACCCACCAATAATCCTCAACACTAGGTTAGGAGAATTTGTTGACCAACTCAAAATTGATAGGATCGATGACCCGAAAAACTAGAATAGAGTTAAAAATTCAATCCAACTGGTCGATTATTTTTAATTATTTTATCAATAATAACTAAAATATCATAAAGTTTAAAGACAATTACAATTTTTCATTAATATTGGTTACAAACGTCCAATAACCTTAATTTTCATATTAATTAATTTTTTTTTCTTAAACTTATTTGGCATAATTTAACCCAAAAAAGAACAAGGAAATTCCACAAATCCCAAATCCCAAAGTCTAACTATTCACGTTTGTTTGTTTTTTTGGGGTGTATTGATTATAAATTAATGCAAATGGTCATAGGAAGAATAGCAAAGAAACTAATCCCCGACATCGCGTGGCCTTTTATCGCAGAGGAAAAAGGATTTAAAATTTTTAAAAAGAAAACTGGAGGGGTAGAATCGTACATTTGCCAATAGTATCACCATCACCGATCAATTCTATGGTCAAATGTCAACGGTAGTCGATATCAACGGTTGTGATTGACTCTTCCAAAGTCCGCTATCTTCCTCGACCGATTCGCACAGAGATGAGGCTTCCCCGGAACCCTAAGATTGCCGGAGAAAGAAACTTCCGGCGGAATTACCTTCTGATTCCAATTCCGGTTGGGACTTGCTCGTACCAGAGGACTCAAACAAAATGCGAATCCTGAAACGTTCTGTTTGTGCCCTAATTTCTCTCGTTTAGCCGATCCAGGAATCGTCATTGGAGATTGTTGAAACTTCTGAGAAATTGGAGAACGACCGTGACTTTCGCACTCTTCTTCATCCGATTCCGATATTATCGCCGGCGACATTCCGCGTTTAATCGTTTGACAATGATGCCTCCGTTCGGCACCAGCGATCGATTCCTCGACTGTCGCAAGGCTCGATTGCTGCTTAATCCGACGGCCGTTCAAGATCGTCGAGAACCACGACGGCGATAAAGAAGCCGAATCAGAACCGTGCGATTCGTGAGAAGGACTTTTATGCTTCTTCTCGAATTTCTCGGATCTAGATTTAAAAAGCTTCGACCAGAGCGAAAATTTACTCCTCTTTTTCCGATCGAACGAACCTGTTGTAACGAATGTAGAGTTCGCAGTGTTATTCGTTCTGTAATCAGGTCCGATTTGCGGAGTACTGTAAAATCGCTGATGGCGATTTCCTTCGCGATCGAGATCGCTCAACAAACCTTCATCCGATTTCAAACGATGATCAAAAGGAGAAACAGAACGAAGAAAAACAAGCGGCGGTGGCGGAAGAGGTCTATCGTCCGCCGCACGATTATCACCGGCAGCGGCGGCACGGATCTCCGATTGCTTCTCCGCTTGTGCCTGAGCAGCGATAATCAAAAAAAGACGCTCCCGTAAACAGGAAGCACAGACGCCGATGCTACTGCTGCAGTCAAACTGGTGCTTCTTGCACCTCATTTACTAACGAAAAAAGAAAAATCGAACTCGGAGCGGCGTTTCAATGGCGGATCGTGAAGATTTCCGGCGAATTTTGAACGATGAGAACGAAAAGAACTCGGATGAAGAAACTTCACTGAAAATGGAAATGAAAGTTTGCAAGGCGAGAGACGCTGGTTGGTTTACAGTAATTATTTATATTTATAAATGGATTGTGCTTTTTCGAAAGACGGAACCTGACAGCCTTTTTTTTTTTTTTAATATATAATTTTTTAAACATGAATTAAAATTAGGATAAATATGAATAATTGTTTCCCCGTATCTGTGTCGTTTGAATTTCACACCTCCCGCTGTAATTTTCTTTATTTGGCAACGATTTTCTTTCTAAATAATTCAAAATATCTATTTAAAAAAAAAACGGTATATTAATTATTTATTTATTTTTGTTATAATTTCCATTTTTATTAATAACATTTATAAAACTAAATTATATTTCTATTTTAGATTGGGTTGAATAAATGCTTACCCGACCAACTTAAAATTTCGAGTTTGTTGTATAGGACTCGCAACCGAACTAGACGAGTTGAGTTCGATTATCAAGTTATTTTTTTAACCGAACTTACAATACATGTTACATTAATAATTAAAATTTCACAAAAACTAATTATCAGGCATTTGCACGTTACAATGCATCATTAACATCGGTTAAAAATGTCAAATATTTTCGTAATAATCTTGATAGTCGGATAGGATTAGATTAGGTTGTAACTTCATTTTTTAACCGGTTGAGCTGACCCAATAAAAAAATGACGACTCGAGAATCGACCCGAATTTTGGAAGTTCAAAAAGTTCAACTCACCTAGCTTTTATGGTTTAGATTGGGTAGTTTAAGTTGGATCGAGTCATCCTGGTCATTTATTAAAAAAATAAATAAATAAATAAGTGGCCGTTTAGAGTTGAAAGGGTAAACGGCGTCGTTATTTTCTATAATTAGTTATATAATAAGTTATGTACGGACAATAATTTTATGACAAATCATGGTAGGTTTAAAAAACAGTTAATAGATAATAAATTCACCTTCATATAATACATTTTAGTTTTAATATTTTATTTTGATAATTTTTATGATTTAATAAAATTTTATAATCTCGAACCTCGTCCAATAGTCAGCTCCTATTTAAAAAAAAATTCCTCCGTATCTAAAATTATTCTTCTTTAAACTCTCAACGAACATCGTTAATTTAATACCGAGAACTGGTTTGTGTTCGCTATTGAGTCTACGCTCGTTCTTTTCAAGCTTGATTCCGCTCGTATGCTCGTTACATTGTTCGACCGAACTCGTTGGTTCTACGCTCTATTCAGTCGAAACCCAATTCAACAGCCTTTTTTTAGATATTTCGCTCTTACCCCATTTACCTTTAGGAGCCCTTAAGTGAGAAGCTTTCTTCTCGGGAAAATAACAATGGAAAAAACGACTCTTTCAATAATTCATTTGGTTTGGTAAAATTCTAATAGTCTCTATTATCTCGAACATTCTACTGAATCTAAATATTAATTATAATATTTTATTTTAAAAATAACTTTAAAAAATGCATTAATGATCCACGAATTATATTTTTCAACAAAAAGAAAGTTTCCATTTCCACCAAAATTTGGAATTTTGAAAATGAATTATTCAAAGCTTTATTTTTGTCATTTAATAAATAAATATACGACAAACACTTGTGAGCAAATAGGTAATATAAACATATAATTTAATTAACAAGTTGGAAAAATTATAAATAATAAATAATATTTTATTTCGTGAAATTATATATAATTTTGAGAACGTCTCATTTAATAATTATTTGATATTTTTATAATGATAAAAAAATAATTATTTAATTTCTTAATAAACTTTAAAAAATAGTAAATACTATAAATATCTTAATAAACACAAAATTTAATTATACGACTAATATTGGAAACAAACGGTTAAAAATACAGTTAAATTTTTATCACAAAGTTTACGATACTAGCAGAATTATATATTTTTATTTTTTTAAAACGTTTAAAAATATTTTTATGAATTTTAAAAAAAGTTTTATAACACTATTTTTTAAATTAAAAAATTTAAGAGTACTGATGAAACTAAAACTTCAGTATATTTAAACACATTCGAACTATTTTTTAAACGCTTCCGAAAGTTTAAGGGTATTTTTAAAATTTTATTTTTTAGTTCGAGAATATTATTACAATTTTGTATTTTAAATATATTTTTATTAACTTATATATATATATATAAAAGTTTATTTGCAATTCTACACTTCAACATGGTCAATCTTGCTTGTGGAGTTATTCAAATCTCAAACAAGTGTTATTGCGTTAAGATATTTGATCAACAAGAATCGTTCAAAGTAGACATGATCAATCTTGCTTGTGGAGTGATTCGAATTTCAAACAATGTTCTTGCCTTGAGATATTCGATCAACAAAGGTAATTCGAATCTTACTCCCATTGTAGTGATTTTCACATATCATTTGGTATCAAAACTTCAGACTCAAGATCGGATTACCTTGTTCATCAAATCTCTTAAAGCAAAAATATTATTTGAGATTCGAATCACTCCACAAGCAAGATCGATCATATCTAGCTTTAATGATTCTTGTTGATCCAAATATCTCAATGCAAAAACACTTGTTTGAGATTCGAATCACTCCATAAATAAGATTGATCATGTCGAACTAAACTTTTATATATATATATATATATAGTCTGATTAACGTATTTGTTAACAGCTATGTGAGAGCACCGAATATGAACATGAAGACCATGTACGGCGGCCATCATAATTGGGAAGTGCCTTTTCAAAGTGCAAGTGTGTACATGACTATAGTATGAAGGCCCAACTGCTTGAATTTACGCATAAATAATAAAAAGATACATTTTTTAATGGAAAAAATAATCACCATTCACGAAATTAATTAATTTAATAAAAAGATATATTTTTTTAATTAAAAAAAATAATCACCATTCACGGACTTTAATTCGAGATTACATAGTGTTTAAAGATTAAAATAATATGATAAATCAGTTTAATTTACACATTTGAATTAGGTTGGGTAAGATAAATTAAAATTTTATTTAAATTTTCCTAAATTTATATTAAGTCGAATAAAAGAAGAAGAAATTCAAATGTTTTTTTTTTCTTTCAAATATAATTATAGTACAATTTTCTTATTATAATTTTATTTTTCATATTAATTATTATTTTTTTAATCTTTTAAGTTGACGTCAAATGGGAAGTCAACTTTTTTTTATATATATAAAAAAACAATTTATTATTTTTTTTTAAGAAGTGCCTTATTTTTTAATTTTGGTTCTTTTATAAAAATAATGACCATAGAAATAGGAAGAAAAATAAAAAAAATAAATAAAGCTCGATGTATAAAAATAAAAAATAAAAAATTTGAATAGAATAATTCATCATCTTAAAAAAAATGATGTCATAAATGATTTTATTTTATTTTAGTTTTTAATATTCTTATGTTGATTTTACACGCTATACATATATATAATTATTTAAATTTTGTTAGTACTGTAGTCGAGAAAAACGTGACAACCAGCAAAAAGTCGTGACTTGTAGCGAGGAGAGTTCCTAGTTTACTAATTAATCGATAATTTTTCTTCTTTTATCGGAGTATGAATTTAATATATTAACTGTAGAAAAAATAATTAAAATTATAATCGAAGTTGGCTTGGTAAACCAAGTTAAAGTCAAAGTAGAACGTGTTTAAGAGTTTAGCTAAAAATATTTTTGTCAATATCAAGAGTAGTTCTAGAATGTTATTTCATTTTAGTCCTTATATTATTAAAATTTCAAATTAGTCCCACAAGTTAGTCACGTTTTAAAAGTATAGATACTAAAATGAATAATTTAATAATACAGGGACCAAAATAATAAATATAAAAAAAAATTGTTTGGGAAGAAAAAAAAGAAAAGAAGCAATAATGAGAAAATGAATGGATTAGTTGAGTAGGATAATTTAGGGATTTGCAATAACTGGTCCCCCAACTATGTATAAATTTGAATTTAGACCACTAAAGTTGGAGTTATTTCCTTTTGGCCGCGTCACGGTTTAGGCACGTGCTACTCTGGCGCTGGATTGTTTGGTGGCTGTGGTGGGCCCACCTCAGGAGCGGGCGGCCCACTAGACAATAACGACTTTAAATCCCAATCCTCACTGCTTGAATAGTCTAGCCCGCCAGACGATTTTTTTAAAAATAAATAAATAAAGTCATATTTTATTGATGGTTTTCTTTTAATAAAAAATAAAAATAAAAAGTCAATTTTTTTTTTTGTTAATAAAAAAAAAAATCACATTTTTAATTTATATATATATAGTCATCTAGGTTTTAATAATTTTTTATTTACTTATTTGATGAACGTTAAAATTTGTCAACTATAAATGTAAATGATTCAACTCTTAGCCAGCTGACATTTGTATAGATGTTCGTATGTTTGAGTTGTAAATTTTTTCAATCCAATTCAATCTAACGATAATTTTGTTAAGCTTAGTTGATTCAAATGGTTCGGGTCGTTTATTCAAATTTTTATTATTTTTTTAATAAAAGTAAACAAACATTTAATTCAAATTTACCGCTCAATTTCAATAAATAAATAAATATATATATATATCATCCTTTAATCCGAGGTCACCCAACAAAAAAAAATTTTTAACGCACATATTTTAAAATTTTTACTTTCGAGTTGCAAAAAGTTATATATATATATATATATAGGTATAAATAGTAATTGTCGTTTTTTAAGATATAATCATCATTTTTTTAAGATTATTTTCATACCTCTCATTTACTCGATATTTTATTTTATTATTATTTAAGGTATATCTTTGGGTTGATTTTAATTATAAGTTGTTATTGTCGAATTTTGTTGACTTTTTATGAGTTAATAATTGGAGACGGGAGAAAATTAGAGAATAATGGATAATGATTATAAATAAAATAAAAGTAACATCATAAAGTCAAATTCTTATCGCTTAATTATTTTAAGGAAAAAAAAAACCGAGTGAAAGTGCGACGGGTCAAAAACCGAATAAATTGCATCATTTTCTTACTTTATAATATGTTATAAAGTAGTTACGCCTAAATTCTCCTTTTAAGAAAAGCTT